GCCACAACGCCTGGCCATTTTTTTGGTTGCAGCCATCATTGTTGTTTGGCGGGCCCGGGCTGGGGATACGAACCCGCCACCTTAGGTGTATGTGGCTGGTGCCTCAGCTGCTTGAGCCACAGGCGCCGAGCTGCAAACTTTAATAATCACAGGAACGTGGAAGGTAAAAGAGTTAAGCAGTCCAGATAATAAAGTCATTAGCTTCTCACTGTTATAGAGACATTAGAGTGACAGGGGCTGTGTTGAACTGGAGAGCAGATCTCCTATCTAAGGGTATGATGATCTCTCAGCCTTAGCTGATCACTGGTGTATGAGGACACAAGGTGGCACTGCAAGGTACATTTACTGTTCCCAGAGAAAAATGAAACTTGAGATTAAGTAAAGTTTCCCCATTTTTAAGTGTTGGCACCTAACAGATTTAGAACAGTGCAGACCAACACTGTGTGACCAAACAAAACTGTGAACTGTCTATCATCAGTCAATTTACTTTGAAGTTTTATATAAACAAAGTATTGGTAAACAGAAAGTTTAAAAAGTTTAACAGAAGAAGTTATTACATCAACTCTGCTCTATGTCTCCTTCATTTAGTAAGTATCTACCCAGCGCTAACACTGTGATTTTATAAAGGAAAAATTAACCTCAAGTAAAATATGGAATATTCTCTGAAAGAAATATAAAATAAAGTGGTAAGACAGCTGTAGAGAGGACTTCCTGCTGGAGAACAAGGCAGATTAAGTTTGAAATATTTATCAGATATTTAAGTAGAGCTGCTAAGATGTTGAAAAGGAGTTTGGTATATAAAGACAAGTTCAGGAAAAAGATCTGTGCTGGATATAGGCTTCACACTCTAAAAGAGCAACAACTGTAACATGTACCATTATTCATGTGCCGCCAAAGGAAAAACAATTGTTGATTAAATTACAGTATAATTTCATTAATTATAATATGCTCAGGTACAAAGGATTCCAATTTCAGAAATGCTAAGATCGGAAAAATAGGCCTCGGAACTGATGAAACATAATAAATGTATGAGTCATAAATGATACCTAAAACTATGAGACTAGAAGATATTATCTAGGGAAGGGGTATAAAGAGAAGAGAGACAAGGTATAGGATTAAACTCTAGGAACACTTCAGAGATTAGAGGTTACAGAGATGAGAAATCAGTAGAGGATGCTGAGGAGAGCCCAACAAAGTAAAAAGGGAATTACAAGTGTGTGACCTGGAAGACAAGCAGAAAGCATTTCAAGGAAGAGAGAATAGACAAGAATGCAAAGGTTGCTGACACCAAACGCAATGAGAATTGGAAACTGACCTTTGGAATTAGCTACATGGAAGTCACTTATGACTTTGACAAAGTACGTCTGGATACAGGAGTAAACATAAATGCCTGACTGGAGTGAGTTCAACAGAGTGCCATAAAAAGGAGAGCAATCAAGTGGTAAGTAGATGGGAAATGGGGGTAAAAAATGAATGAAGATGAGAGAAGTAACAGTATGTTTGTATATTGATAGAAATACTCTGACAGAGAAGGAAAACTGATGATGTAAGAGAGGATACTGTAGTTATACTCTGGACAAGATCTGATCTAATGCTTGAGGGCAGACTTAAATAGCTATAGTTTATTCACCATTATAAAAGAACAGAATATATCAGCACAGATGAACGCAGAGGCTAATGTGGTGGGAAGAGCTCATGGGATTTGTCTTTTGATTGCTCAGAATGATCAAAGCACCTAAGTAGGAGAAATCACTGTATATTCTAGGAAGAGATCTGACCTAGTCTGAGTAAGCAATTTTGGGAGCTATGCAAAAGCAGGCTGATAAAAATTAAGAGAGCTCTAAATACCACAGTCAAGGAATTCCAAACACTTTAAAATTAACTGATTAATTAATTTCCTTTTTTTTTTTTTTTTCTTTTGAGACGGAGCCTCAAGCTGTCCCCCTGGGTAGAGTGCTGTGGCATTACAGCTCACAGCAACCTCCAACTCCTGGGCTCAAGCGAGTCTCCTGCCTC